ACCTGGGGAGACGAGGTGTGAACTGCTCTGAAGCGAGGAATTAGTGGAATCTCGCGTCACTCTACCTAGTAGTGCATTGACAGCTGATCTAAACTCCGGATCCCCCTTTTCGCTTTGTTCAGATCGGACCAAGTAGTCTTCCTTCTTTCTAACCCCTCGGTAACTACAATGAGCGACGATAAAGATGGGAACATAGTAGCTCTGATTGATCAGGCTTGCTTATTATTTCCAGGATTCCTTTACACCGCACGAGTGATTATTCCCTGCGCAGTCGCTTCTCGTTACCAGAGTCCAGAATGGCTCTGAGCAACATATCTTTCGGCAACGAAGACGCAACACATCTCCAGTATGCTAGCTTTACGAATGCCTGGTTCATAGACGGAACCTACGATGCGACCAACACCGGTCAAAGTGGCACTCTTTCGTCAACGCATGACAACTCAGCCAATGTAACGTTCGGTGAGTTCAATGTTTTTGCTTCGCGTCCTACTGTCTAATCGTGATCTTAGTATTCCCTCGTGAGTCGTTCAAGTTGAAGAGTATAGCTCAGACTAACGAATCCTCAATTCGCTCTCTCCAGGAGCTGCCAACGCAGTTTATTACTATGGAATTAGACGTTGCTGTGGTGGATTATACGCAGCATGCGTGGACTGCGCCCCAAACACACCAATCGAGGGTTTTGAGAGTATCGATGCAGTGAACACGACAGACGACGGACGTAACCCTCCTGTAAGTGCATATTCGGGGAGTGTGCTTTGATTTCATTATTCATTTTCAATTGTTTCCCAGGTCGTTCTTTGGTCACAAGTTTTTTCTGAGCCTGGAATACATACTGTCATATTGACAAACCAGTTAGACAATCGTTTCAATGGAAATTCCGAAATCACTCTCGCTAGCTTTGCATTGCAAGTGCAAGGAGATAGCACATCTTCGTCATCCCCCTCCCCTTCTTCGACATCTTCCTCCTCTCCTTCAACGCTTCAGCCGTCATCTTCCTTGCTTTCATCGTCAACGCCTTTCCCAATAACAACCATTTCGGCCACTCCCACCTCTAACTTATCCACGAGTTCATCTAACGAGATACCTCTGGCGCCATTATTAGGAGGTCTCCTTGGAGGATTGGTTGTCCTAGGCTGTGTACTTGCGGCAATACTCTTCTATAGGCATCGACACAGATATACTCCAAGCGATTTGAACAGCTTGGCGGTTGGACCCAGGTCTTACATCACGCCTTTCACTGTTTCAGAAGCCAGTACCGGTAACGAAGATACCACTACCACTTACATTCCATCCTCAGTGCTCCCTATGAAGCCCTCTTATGGCCAAGGAGATATCATCAGAAGGCAGTTCCCAATGGACCCTCGGCTGGAAGCGCGTCTTCTCCAGACAGACTCTGAATCCGAGTCCGAGCGGACACTGCCACCATCGTATGACCAACTTTTTCCGTGATTGCTGTACTTGCCTGCGTCCTGGGGTCGCATCGTTCTTTTGTTCAATCTTTACTCATTTTCAAGCCGAATAGATACGTTTGAGACGGTAGAAAAACAAGATATACGTGCCAAAACTATAGCTGTTTACTGCTGAGGTGCGGAGGTTAAGATTGAGCTTGAATACCCATCTCGCTGAAGAGTTCCTCTAGTGCTCGGGCTTGTAGTTCCCATACACACGAGCACAGTTCATGCAGGCGTTCCCCATAACCTCTGAGCTGCTCCTTGTTGATTATAAAATCAAGGTCCCCGGCCAGTAGTCGGCTTGTTTTCCCTCTCAATCTCAAGCCCTCCCATACATGCTGAAGCCCTGGAATCACCACGTTTTGCAAGTAAAGACGTCGGTCGGGTTTGCCTCCAACTCCTCGGGCGATGACATAGAATGTATTCTGTGTACGATGCATAGCATATGGTTTGTGTACATGAAGCGAAGAAGAGAGCATGTCCAACATGAAAAGCATTGTCGCGGTGTACTGCGTATCGGGAGATGCAAGTTTCATCACAATGGTTCCGCCGAATTTGATGGAGAGGAGGGCGAGAATGACTTGAGAAATGGCGAGAAGATCAGCACTGAGCTCAGACTGATTGCGGAGGTGGTGAGCATCGAGAAGAACTAGATCGAAGGCTCGTGCGAGGAGGACCTCCGGGACGGGAAGTAAGGGGATGTATGGCGCTGTGAGGTACAGTTGCCTGCTCCCCAGCTGGTAAGTAGTCATGTCGGCAAAGATAAGAGTCTGACGAGCTTGGAGGGCTTCTTCGAGCAGGTATGGATGGCCTCCTTGCGCGGGGTCAAGAGATATGCCAACACTAGTACATTCTTTGTTCTTTTTTAAGATGTATGTCGAGAACCCTCCTGGGCAGCATCTGACAATGATGGGTTAATGCGTCTATCTTTGTTAACATTATCTTACCCAAGATCCAAAAACCGGAAAGGCCTATTGGCAAAGGGGACGACCCACAACCTGTCGGTAGCACCGCTGTTGTCGATCTGGTTCATGATTTTTTTCATTTTCTTCAACCACACTTGCTGTAGCTCTGGGCCTGCAGCATCAGCCGTATATTGCTGATTACGGACATATTCTCGATATTTGTTACTTTTTTGAGCCTAGAAATGAAGGTTACCATCGTGTTCGAAGAAACATGTGTATTGAAGGCTCACAGTGCGTTTGAGATTCTTCAAATACTGAAGATCATCACTTCCCCAGCCTGTGACAGTGTCGATGTGGATGGACTGCAACTCAGCTGGCATGGCGGTCGAAACCAGATGGGGGTTGAGTGATGAGAGGTTACTTTTACTTCAAAGTTTTTTACTTCCTGAACCTTGTAACCGCAGCCAAGGTGGCTTCGCATCGTGATACACGAGGTTTGAGGCTGTATAACACGAGTACCCTTAGTACTGTCCCGGTGACTGTATATGGGATCATAATTCTTCGCAAGTGGCTACGTTGATGCCGGCTAGAGTCAACTGGACGCCTTCTAGCGTAATCATTTGCCTTCTAGCACCGCAGGGAAGCATCTATGCAGAAGCAAAAGTGTAGTAGACGGCCACCTCGATGAAAGTGGCATCCAAAGCGGTCTGTAGTAGAATATCCAGTAAAGGTTCAACCGCACCGCCGTCTACTCGTCAATTGCGTTTCATAAGTACCTTCGATGGGCTGTTTTCTGAAATATCGCAGAGGGATTTGAGACTTTTTGACGGAAAAATTAAGCCATCTTGGAGTCGAAGCCGCTTTGTGGAAGCCGCCTTAGTGTGGATGCCAGAAATATTGAGGTGGGTTCCCCGCTATGTATGTCGGCCGTATTGTAAAGATGCGAGCAGATTATATTCCTTTTGTTCAACATTTCGTCAACTGGGAGCAGTCAAGCAGTCGCGCATGTCACGTCACGCTCTTTACTTTACTACAAACCTTTACTACCAACTTCAAGAGGGCTAGCCAGATTGACCCAAGTGAACTTTAACTATGTAGCGATCACACAGCAGAATGCCACAAAGTGTCATTGTCAAGTAACATTCAACATTGGCCATTCTTCTTGTCAGCGCCCATCATCAACCACCGAGCCAGAACCATTCAACTAAACACCGAAAATTAACGAGCACTAAGTAGCACTTACTACTAGTACTACTGCATTAACGTTTAATCTATCAAGAATGATATAAGTCACCCGACCAGAACTTTCCCATTCCTTCTTCCTTTCCTTTCAACTCCGTCGTTCTTGGCTAAGCTCTTAGCTATAACGAAACCCAGGAAGACATCATGATGATAATGAGTTCTTCTCTACTTGGCCTACTTTCGGTTTTTGGTACGTCTTCCCGTTTTCCGTACAGATTCTTCAACATAATTATTATAATACAGGTTTTGTCGCTGCCCTTCCACAAGCTAGTGTAACCCTTCCCGAATTCATTCCTACTACTTCTGGACAAAACCCGACAGCTGTCGTTGGTACAGAATGGGCTCAGCCTATCGGTACAGCAAGCGACGGCTCAGCGACGACATTCATAGTGGAAAATGTGTTTACTGAAACGGGTCTTGTTGGAACGGGTGTGCTGACGACGGTTACGACGACTGGAATTGGTTTGTTTTCGTCTTGCTCGTTTCCTTTTACCCTCAACTCTATCTACAGAAACCGTTGCCGTCTCAGCCTCCGGTTGGGAACAAGACAACTTCTTCTCAACTATCACTGGTACTATACTCCCAGGGGGCGTACATTGTTTCTTCACAGCCTCCTCCAGTGGTGAATGTGATAAAGTACAGGTTGCTGATGATGGAACGACTGCGACGATGACTCTTACGGGAGATCTGGTTCCCTCATCTTGCCGATTTCTACTGGGACATTACCTAGTGGTGCTGGTGTAACTATAGGGCAGTCGACTGCGACGACTTCGCCGCAGAGTACGGTTACTGCAGTGCCATCCTCGACTCCTTCGGCCCTTCGAGTCCTGCAGCGTCGACATCATCTACGCCGAATGCAGCGAGTGCGTTGCGCAGTGGGTTTGATGGAATTGTATCGGTAATCGTTGTGTCTGTAGTTGGTGGGATAACACTAGGTGTTGGAATTTTGTTTATTTGAAGTCTGAGCTCTCGAATACATCAAAGTTATGATCTCTCTTTGATAAGTTAAATTTCTCCAGCATTGCATTGTGTGAGAGTGTTCGGAGTAAGGTGGGTGGAGGGACTAAGGAGGGTGGGTAACGCAAAAGATGAAAACACCCGGTACCTAGATGCGGCAGATTTTTGTAATTAGGTCAAAGCTAGGTTTAGCGTCGAACGGTTCCGGTTGAGAGGGACTGATATATAAGCTTGACGGGCATGTGCTCTATATCATTCCGTATTCAAATATTCAACTCTCAAACATTCTCCAAACTATCTAGAGAACGTACGCAGGTGTAGAACATTGTATCTGAGGACCACCTCAGTTTTTGCAACGAAGAATGGCTATCTTAGAAGTTTATGTATAGCTGTTTTTTTTCTTCTGCAGCCAAAGGAATACCGAGTCGATTTGTATTAACGCAACGGAGCGATGGCCGAGCGGTTAAGGCGTGTGACTCAAGCTGCATAAGCTTCCCTTCTCATCATCGTATGATGGCGTGGGTTCAAGTCCCACTCGCTTCAATGATTTTTTCGCGTAATTCTTTTTATTTGTTTAGAAAACCTAATATGCGTCGAGCACCTGTAGCCACACTGTATTCAATATTACAGTTGCAACGAGCCTGGCAGTGTTTCGCTTTTAACATCTCTCCGTGTTATTGTATGCACTGTAATATACAAGGCGATTACTTCGACGAAGAAAGACAAGGAATATCCGTATCACAGCATGTCACTGCGTGTCCCAGATCTCATGTGCAACATACGTGATGATACTGCTCAATGGAGATTCCAGATTGGAAGCACAGGGAGTTGAACAGCTTAAGGCCAAGAAACCAGAGGGAGAGCAAAATAATATCTTGAGACGAAGACAAGCATCGAGTCAGCAGATGAAAGTTGATATGCTTTCGAGACCAGCGCACTCTGTTGATAGAGCCTAGTCGTGTATACGGATTGAAAGGGATTCTTACCCCAGGTTGAATTGAGCGTTAGCGTTACATATTAGTGTCATGACTGGGCGGAACAAGCAGAACTGAACTTTGCGATAAGATGAACAGTATATGGGACCAACTATATGAGATTTAGTGAGAAACTATGGAGTTGAAATCACCGGTAAATAAGTCTTTTCGGATATGGATTGCTTGCGGTCACCGGTGGTCCTTCCCAGCTCAATTGTACATTTATTTGTCGTCCATTGACTTGAAAGTCATACCTGAGGCCTGAGATGAGATGAGAGAAAATGAAGGCCACTGAGTACTGAGCGCTTGTGACCAAGAATCCAGTGAGCGTTTGTGACAAAGAATCAAGAGCATAAGCGCCGAGTGGCACAAAACTATCCCCCGCCATCGACATCGTCGACTTTTTCGGGATCTCGAGGCGGCCACTAACTTTCTGGGCTGGCGTTTGTCACGCAGGACCCGGCTGTGGGGTTACTTGGCTCCTCCTTAATTAAAACTATGCGCCGTCACCGCGGAAGATGGGATCGAGACATCGGATAAGACCCGATTACTACTACAAAATGGACACTGCAAAACTAACAAGACCAACACACACTCAGAGATGTATACCACTACAACCAATATCCTCGAATTCCAAATCTTCGACGTGAATTCACGTACAGGATTCATGCCTTTCCAACCTCCTATTAGTCGCCTACCAACACATTGGGAACTATGGGAGAGTCTGCTAGATGATGCACGACGTGAGCAACTTCAGCCCGCTGACAAGTTGGGCATAACCGCTGAAGAAATGGCGCGTTCTGAACGCTGGCGGAGTCGTGTTTCTCAGGTAACCTTCCGCCCACACGGCTACAAGTCTAGCACACTAATCTTCTCCTATATAGACTCCATTACTATCCATAAACGATATGGCTACATCTACAGTACTCCTCCGTCGTGCCCATTTGGTTCTGACCTTTCTGATGCATTTTTATATCCATACCATACCACCCGACAGCCCAGTCTTGATCCCTCGACCAATATCGATTCCCATTTTACAGGTCGCAAAGGTCTTGGATTTGCCTCCTGTTATCACCTTCTCTGATACTGTTTTGTACAACTGGCGTTGGGCCAACAACGCTAATGAGTCTGACTCCTCCCTAGAAAGCCAGACATTGTTCACTGGGCTCCAGGACGAAGAGGTATTTTACCTCTGCTCAGCGCGTATCGAGCTCCGTGGTGTCGACGCTCTCAATATCATGTGTTCAGTCATGGATGAAATCTTTTGTGGAGACGAAATCACCCTCGGCCGGCTCACCACATATCTCCTTGAACTTTCTACCGTCATAGACGCCCTAAAATCCCTCCTCCTTGATGTCCGGAAAGGCTGTGACCCAGAAGTCTACTACAACGCCGTTCGACCATGGTTCAGAGGTGAAGATTCAGATTCATACGTCCCTTCGGAGGAAAGACGTAAATGGGTTTTTGAAGGTGCAGAAGAGTATCCCGATCTAAACATGCTGCCTCCGGATAGAGAACTCTCAGGTGCTAGTGCCGGACAAAGCTCTCTCATTCACGCGCTAGACGTTTTTCTGGGAGTAGACCATGATCGTCCGAATTCCATCTCGTATATGAAGCGAATGCAGCGGTACATGCCTCATCCGCATCGATGCTTCCTGAGCCATCTAGGAAAAAATCCTCGTCCGTTGAGAGACTTTGTCATGACGGCTTGCTCAGAAGATACACCAGCTAACTCGGCTATGAAGGAGGCGTATAACAAAGCGGTCTCATCTCTGAAAGAATTTCGAGACTCACATATGGTTATTGCTGGATTGTACATCATTGGACCTGCGAGACGAGCTGCCGAGGCCCTGGTACACGACACGAGTGTATCGAGCTCAGCTTCGTTAAAGGATCGCGCTATAACAGGCACGGGTGGGACAGATCTTCTCAGTTTTCTCAAGGGTGTGAAGAAGCAGACGGTTCTTACACTCATCACTTAACCGAGACACTCATTAGATTATTTATACTTAGATTACATCGGGAGACTTGCTTAATTTAGGATGTTAGTGATATTCATTGGACTTCACTTGAATCGCAGATTCGTATGCTGGGAGCTTCTAAACTCGAAGGAAGTGCTTTCTTGATCATATGTGGAGTCACTGGCAAGAGCAGACATGATAGATGCTTGAACTGGTTGTCTTTTTGCTTGAGATAGAGCTGGGATAGAGTGAAAAGTAGCAGCACCTCCGAGGTTGCAAGCAGAAGCAAGACCCGGCACTGCAACAGCCTGAAGGCACGCACGACTGTAGACACATACTCTAAAGTGCTGAGTGAATTGGCTGTCTAGAATTTCCAGTTAGTTTTGAAAGATGTACACCATATTGACCACAAAAGAAACTGAGAATATGTGAGTGTTCTACGAGGGAGTTGGGAGTACTATTTTTGAATTTTCCTCTGTTTCCTACTACCCTGAGTATTCCAGCAACTGTTGAAAGGGTCAAGGCAGCCGCGTCTATTGCCATGAACTACTGGACTGATCAATGTAGCCGAAAGCCAGAATTCCTGGAGTTGCTCTAGCCTGGTAACCAAGCCCTCTAGGGGGTTGACGTTGTTTAGACTAGCGAGGTTTCTTGTCTAACAACGTCAACCCCCTAGAGGGGTCTGCTTTAGGCCTAGGAAGCGTCCACAGCTTCAGCGGCCCGATTTACCGTGATTCAAGACGAGCGCCTGCTGCCAGTGGATTTTGTGTCTAGCATGAATCCATACAGCCTCCATCCTCGCAGTCCCAGAGGCTATGGAGATCGAAGAGAATTTCTGCAGGCAGAGGCTCGTCGCAGCAGATCTTACAACGGAAACTCCAACTGGGGTGTTAGCAGCTACACTTACAGCGCAAGAAGTCATGACCCAAGGAGAGGATTGGACCGCGCTAGTCGGAGAAGTGGATTTGGTGGAAGCGAAGGGGGAGATTCTAGCTATTTTCTGGAAGATGACTATAGCGAACAGGATTCCAATTCTCCATATCGTGGTGACCGCAGTAGGAGTCGCTCAACTACACCGTCTGGTGTAGGATACAATCAGAGCTACCGCAGTTATGGCAAATATGAAGGTGTGTAAATATGGAATGATATTATCTATGTAGATAGTCCTCTTCCCGTCACCAGAGGCGGAAACTGCGAGTTGTAAAACCTGTTGGATTCTACCATGGAGAATTTTGGCAACGCGAGCTATCTGACATCTTTTCCCTGCTCATCTGATCTCCGCTTGTTGGTCTGGCTCTCATATCTCCTATGATGAAGATAACTTCACTCGAAAAAAGAGGAAAATCGAAGAACGGATCAAACAAGAACGCCCATGTCGGACGCTTTTCATTCGAAATATCAAGGTGAATCCCTGCCCAGTCTCCTTCATCATACTACAAAAATGTATCAGCTCCTTCCCGCAGTATGAAACCAACAGCAACAACCTACGCCGCCAATTCGAAGAACACGGTGAAATAATGAAATTCTTTGATCTTATATCCACTCGAGGCATGCTTTTCGTTACATATGTGAGTAGCTGGACAAACGACGACGACGGTGACTAAACACCGCTCTTTATAGTATGATACACGTGCAGCTGAGCGTGCTCGAAACCGTTTGCAGGGTTCAGAACTCGGTGGCCGCACAGTAAGCATACCAGTTCTGTTTCCAATCCAATTGAAATGAATATCGGATCGGTTAGATCGACGTACATTTCTCATTACCTCGAGGTAGTGAAAAGAACGATGTATGTTCGACGATCCACGAGCAATACACGAATCTGATGTGTGTACCAGTTTCAAGGATGCCTTCAGGTCACCTTGGTAAACACGCCGTCTGGGCAACCTATTGACGACAATGAAGTACGCCGAGCGTTCATGGTAATTGGTGAAATAAAATCTATCCAGCCTGTTAAAGACCGGATAGTAGAGTGGGTTCTATATAGTGTCTACATATATGGCATTGACCTTCTTGTAGTTCCCGGTATGTTGAATTCTATGACACCCGGGTGAGTTTCGCGATGATGAAACACCATTCCAATATAATTCTTTTCAGGACTGTGACAAAGCCCGAGACCGCCTCCAACACCAAAGGCTACAGGACGGCATTATGGTTATAACGTATCCATCTGAAGAGTCACAGTTCGTATGATGTTCCAGGAGTCGGCTCCAATGTTTTGACCTTTGTTATAGACTAGGGGGTGGAGATGCGAGCGAGAGTCTAGGTAGATTCGGGGACTTCGAAATAATCGGAGGTAACGATGGGACAACAGGCCTTGATGAAAGACATAAATCAATTAACATACCAATGGAATCGGCATCGATCCCAAAAGCGGATATTAAAGGCTACCTTCAACGAGCTCTCGCAGAATACGATGCTTTCAAGGTCAATCATAGACTTAACTCACATTCAAGGCAAACCTTTGCACCACAATGGCTGGATAAAGAAGTGGCCCAGCGTGTTCTGGATCAATTGCAACTGGTAACTCTTACTGTAGTCTTGTAGTCCGTCAAGACTCAATAGTCAATCACACAGGAGTTGGATTTTGCTTCGGGAATTCTCAATCTCT